CCTTGTGGACAAATGGGTCCTCAGGGTCAGGGAGATACAAGCATGCAGAAGAAACCCAGGCTCCATGAAAATTTTGGTTAGAAACACCATCTTTGACTAGTCTTGTCGCAAATGACGTAAGAATGGAGAGCTGTCTCGCAGCTTTAGTGGCAAACTCTGGAGAGTGTGTTCCCTTCGCCCCCTCTCCCTGCCAACATAAGAAATTAAGGCTGTCTCTGAATTGTTCCCTAACCTGAATGCTTGCATCCAAGAGGGGGCCATTAACTCTACCTGGATTCAGTGAGTTGCTTCCAGCCCTGGCTTTGGACACACTCCCTCCCTGACTTCTGACTTCTTCACTCCGAGATACAAAATCAGGTGAACCTGTGGCTGACCCTCCATGGGCTTCCACGGACATGTCACCAGTGGTAAAAGCTGGGGGAGAGGGGACAGCCATTTCTTTTAGTCTTGTAGGCCGATTCTGAAAGTCATGTAGCTTCTATTTATTATATAGAGAAAAGGTAGCCCCTTGTAGACTTCCTACAAGTGCGATGTACAGGAGGTCACGTTTATCAATACTTTTCAGGAGAATAGGGGAAAGACATTGCTTGCAAGGAGCTCGTGTTTTGTGTCCCAGTAATTGCTGGGTTTATATCTACACAAATGCACTGTTAAATTCAACAACTTTCCCCCCTATTTATCTGACAGGCTCATCACGACCATTATGTAGACAACTGATTAGCTGTCAGTTTGTTACTAAGGACTAGAATCGGGTTCTTAATTCTATTGTCTGATTCCTTTCACCAGTTCAATGTGGCCCTGAGCTCAAGCTGAGTAAAATCTGGAATTGAGATTTTGCTTTCTAGATTAGTTAGATAGAAAAAAAAGCTGTAAGGTTTTGTTGGTCAAGCTTACTGTTGAAAACTTTAAAGGGGCTGTGAAGAACTTGGTGGTGTCTGTCTACGTGTTAAATGACTATCCTTCTCCTAGGTTAATGATGAAGTCAGCCAGGATTCAAAAAGAAGAACCAATCATACGTTGCTTAAATTTGGGTATTTTTTCCCTTTAACATATTAAATCAATTTGAAATGTGTATGAGATCTGTTAGCTCCTTACACAGATGGATGAAGCCACTGCCCCAGCTTCTGAAAGCCCAACCCTCCCTAATTCATACCCTCATCGTTGCCCCAGGGTCTCCCCACCCAGGCAGAGCCAGCCAGCTTAGTTCGCCGCTCAAGTCCACCTGCGAATACACCCTCGCCACCTTCCCAGCTTTATATCTTACTGTTCCATATATCAATCATGCATACATCATAAGCTCCTGTCAAACTAGTTTCTTGCCTTCCCTGGAAGGAGGCATAGTACACAGTATTAGTCAGGGACAGCTGTCAGCCGTCTCCACCTGATGCGTGGGGATTCTCCACTTGGCAAGCCTTCCCCCCATTCCTACTTGGCAAAGTTCTGCACGTTCCATAGGGCTCAACACAAGGACTGCATTCTCTATCATTTTCCCCAACAGAAGGAAGTCTTTTCCATATTGGAAGTCCCATTAGACATGGTAACTCCCTCATCTCTTACATCCCTTCACTATGGTTTTTATTTATGTATCTTATATATCCTGTTTCCCCCATGTCTTATGCCATAGCACAGGTACAGCATAGCACACTCCATGAAAAAATGTTAAATAAATATTTCACTTCCCTTTAATCCATCTATTCATCCATCCATCCGATCATCTGATATTTATTACGTGCCTGGCTACTATGTGCCGGGCACACGTAGCTGGCAAAGTAAGTCTGAAGCTTCTATGTGGCTTTCAGCGATCTATGCCATTCTCTGGCCTCATGGGGAAAGATTTGTTCTTATCATGTGGGGGTATTTCTTCTTGTCAGTACCAACATTTTCATTATTTTCCATTATTATTATTTTTCAAGTTGCCCCTTCATTGAGAAATTTAGCAACACATCTCAAGATTGTGCATTTGTGCACTGAACACACTTCTAGCTTTGTCTTATCCTATTTCTGTCTTTATTTACCCAAGCTCCTCACTTATTTTTACATTATATGGATTTTAATAGCCACTTTGAAATCCTTGTGAAAGGAAGCAAAAGTACCGATAAATAGAATACAATTACAAAACAATCAAGTAATTGGCTCCACACCACTAATTCACACGATGAAACCTCCCTGGAGGAGCTCTTGCAGGAGAGAAGAATTCAATAAAATGTAGGTCTTCCTTGGACTCCATTCAAGAAGGCTACGTTTCTGCGGTAATTATAGGTGATCTTACTTTTAATGTGATTCCACCAATGCGGTCTTGAGGAAATTGCTAGGAAACACTAATATGATCATTCTAGTAAATGATGGTATTTGAGACTGCATTGTGAAATCTGGGACCATTTCCCAGAGGCTGGGACACGTGAACAACAACATGTCAATTTACCTTACAAGATCTTTTTCTATCATACTGATTTTTTTTTTTTTTAAACCAAGACTGCTACGGAGATGACTAACGACAGAGAAAGAAAGAGACCAAGATCATAAAAAGAAGGAGATAAGACTTGGGAGAAATGCCTCCAGTAAAAAAAGAGCCATTCATTGGGTCTTCACGAAACTAATACCAGCGGTGTTTACTATGTGTCCTCTCTCCCCATGCTCCAGAAATTTCATACATCTGCCACCAAACTATTGTTACCTTAATACTTAACCCTTGCTAATAAAAGGGGGTTCTTTCATCCACCTTAAGACTGTGTTAGTTTACATCCATATTTCTTTTTGACCATTTTTAATGCATATAGCCTCGCCCCATCTACCTGGATATCTCAGTCTTAACGCCTCATATTTAGTTTAGGCAGATTTGTTGAGTCTTGAAACTAGATCAAAACTTTGTATTCACAAAAAACTACTGATAATTAGTCTACAGTTCATCCCCAGGGATATATTTCACAGGCCAGGCACTGTATCCTTAGGGCTAAGTTTAGAGAGGAGAAAACACGGCTTTGCCATGCATCACGTTAAAATGACAAAATGGCCCCAGGAAACCAGAATTCTAAACAATTAATACAGAGGAATGAAAAAGAAGCTCTAGAAAATAGAAGTTCCTTGAATTTACTGGCATTCATTGGCCATGGGTGTGATACGCAATTTGCTTCAAAGCATGTTTAAAAAATATTAGCTTCAATTGACCTTTTATTTTACTCTATGTTAAAAGCCCAGTGCATCAACCAGGAGGACTTGTCAGTCTTGGTTGTTTTATACTCATTTGTCAGGCTCTAGTGCTTCCCATTCCCTGAACTGGGAGCCCCCGAGAGCAGAACGTTACACTTTTTTTCTATTTCCAGTGCTTAGCACTTGGTTCAATCTCAATCAGTGTTCACGGAGTGAAAAAAATGGACTTTTGTCTCTTTTCCATAATCCTAAAGGCTGCCAAGATGGCATGACCTCAACCTTTAAGAAAGAATACACTTCACAGTAGTTGATGTATTTTGGAAAACTTTTGGCATAATGCTAGGTCCGGGAGAGAGAGGGCAAGAAATTTGCTATTTTGCCCCCCTTTCAGGAAACTCCCACAAAGATTGTAGCTTGATTGAAACTGTGCCTGCTGGTTCACAGGGCACATCTCAGCGCAGCCCAGGAATCCCTGGGACCCAAGAGTAGAATTTATGGGCCATGTGTTTTTTTCCTGCTGTGCTTTCTCTCATCTAGGTCATTTCTGAGAAAATTCCTTTAAGAGCCCCTCTTCTGGCCCGATTGAGACCTTACCAGGTAGGTATTTCTTTGGGCTTTGGGAAATAACAGACAAAATGCAGGTCGAAGAGCAGAGCCAGCTACTCAAGGTTCAGAAGTGAAACGTGATCTCTTGGAATGCGATTACCTAAGTAGTTGAGCTTCAGCATTTTTGTTTTCTGAGGAGCCCCCACCAATCAGGGGCCGGCAAATCTCAAAAAAAAAAAAAAAAACTACACAATTTATAATTTTGGAAATTTAAAATAGAATTTGCAATGTGATCTCAGTGGCGGGGTCACTTCACCTTGTAAAGATTTTTATCCGATTATAAAACAAACGGCCTACTTCTTCAAGGCATATCAATGCCATGAAATCATGCTCCAACTTTGCCCCCTTTCATTATATCAGCAGGAGCTGAAAAGCTGGCAAAAGGAAAGGTGTGGCAGAGAGTTAAGTCCTGCCAATGCCCTTCTGGCCTTCACTGCAAGAGGTGAAGAATTAATTTTTTTTTTCTGGGCATTTAAGGAGCGCTTTGATGGTGCTTCTTACCATATCGTTTGGGTCCGCAAGACTGCTTTATGGTAAGTCCGAAACCTCTGGGGAAATGGTCTCAGCATCCCTAACTTTTGCTGGGTCCTAAAGCTAGAGTTTGGAGACTGTGACAGGCTTGGTGAATGGAAAGAAGCGTGTGTCTGCTCCATGAGTTCGTCTTTGTGAGGTTTCAGGACAAAGTGTTGCTTGCTGAGGAAGCGCCAAGGCCCACCTGCCCTCGACCTCTGGGAGCAGCTCCCAGCGGGGTGTGCCTGGAAGATCTTTGCCCTTGTCATCCTGGGGGCTGAGATGCGGCCTTGTGCCCACACCCACCTGCTTTGGCACATCTCCAGGAGGAGCTGTAGCCTCAGTGTGGCCCAAGAAGTTAGCCCCTTGCTTCTGGGGTCTCAGTAAGAAGCAAAAAGGTTCAACCAGCAAAGCAAAGGCCTGGGAAACATTTGCCGCTATCAGCTCTGATGGTTGCACCTAAGAGAGAATTTCTTTGTAGCCTCTTGTTTAGTTTTGTTTTTTGTTTTTTTTTTTTTTTAAATAAGGGGATCAGTGATGGAACCCAGGTTAAACCCTTCGACGGAACTATCCAGAAGGGCAAAAGTAGCAAATGACAGGCTATGGCCAGGGACTGACTCTGGGGGAAGGCTGGACTTTTGAAATGAGAGCCAAAAATGTTTTCACCCTCTAGCCCACAGGTTAAGTTACTGAAAAGAAACCACCACCGTTTCTACACGTTTCTTGTGTGGTTACTCCTACTCTGGAGAGTAATCTAACTCATCATTTGCAATCAGGGCCTCCGAGTTCTGTTTGTGTTTGCTTTTGCTCTTCGCTTTGCTACTCGTCCGGGTGTTTGCCTTAGCATCTGACATCTGTTGGTAATAGAAGCCTTTGTCTTCGGCCGGCCCGCCCCAGTTCTCCTGGCTCTCGCCTTCGGTGGCGTAGGAGAAACCCTCCTCCACCGAGAAGGGGTCATCCACGTCGTAGCGCTGGTACGTGCTCTGGTGCAGGGCCTCTTCGCGGGCGCTGATTTCCAGGGTGCTGTTCCAGATGCCATACCCAAAATAAATGAGCATACCTGCAGGGAGGGAAAGGCACGGGCGAGTGAGCTTTGGGATCCATGGGGCTAGTGGGGAGATACTCAGTGGTGCAAGCAGAGCTGGCCGTGGATGTGTTTTCTTTTGTCTAAAGAGTGTCTTGAAGAGACTCGAATTAGATGTCATTTAAGAATTGGGATACCTTGCATTAAGCAACCCATATCTACAGCCTCCCCTCCAGAAGCCGGGCGGTCTGACATCACTACTCCCACATTCCTACGTGACGGGTGTGGCTAGAGGTGAGCACTAGCTGCCTCCTTAGACAGATCGGGGGCTCTCTGGTCACCTCTGTCCTCACCCCCCTGTTCACTACTGTTGTGTAGGTGCCAACTGGGAATTTGCATTTTCCACCCTGGCTTAAGTTTTTGTGAGTCACCCATAGTAGGTTCCTACCCTTCTTACAGTATTTTATTTTTATTTTATTTTTTTTTCTTACAGTATTTTATTATCTCTCACCTCCAGTTAGGGACTCCATCTTTCGTTTCACCACTGAGCGGTGTGCGTATAATGCCCTATGGTTTACTTTGCCTTTTTTCATTCACCAAAGGAGTATCATATGTACTGCGGCCACTCAGAGCTGTTCACTTTCTTCTGTGGGCTCTTGGGGTGTCTGGTGCCTGCCACTAAGGCCCTTAGAACATCTGTGTGATTATCTGCACAAGGAGGTTCCATTTCATAGACTCTGCAGAAGACTGGCACTTAATGAATGCTTGTTGGGTGAATGAATGAGAACTCCTGAGGAGCATGACATTTCCAGTGCAACCTCCTTATTTGATGACATTGCAAGCAGGAGGAAGAAACTTGCTTGCCTAGTTAATATGTAGTATTAAATAAGGGCTAATGTTTCATTTCTATTATAATTTTTTTTGAAATTACATATAAGAATAACTTGAGGGGTGCTTGGGTGGTGCAGTCGGTTAAACATCTGACGCTTGGTTTCGGCTCAGGTGGTGATCTCAGGGTCCTGAGGTTGAGCCCTGCAATCAGGCTCTGTGCTCAATGAGGAGTCTGCTTGGGATTCTTTTTTTTTTTTTTTTTTTTTAGATTTTTAAAATTTTAATCATGAGATACACAGAGAGGGAGGCAGAGACACAGGCAGAGGGAGAAGCAGGCTCCATGCAGGGAGCCTGATGTGGGACTCGATCCCAGGACCCCAAGATCACAACCCGAGCTAAAGGCAAACGCTCAACTGCTGAGCCACCCAGGTGTTCCTGCTTGAATTCTCTCTGCCTCTGCCCCTCTTGCTCATGCTCCCTCTCTCTCTGAAAAATAAATACATAAATAAGTAAATCTTAAAAAATAGCTTGAGAAATCCCATTTTCTTTATTTTTAAGGTTTTATTTATTCATGGGAGAGAGGCAGAGACACAGGCAGAGGGAGAAGCAGGCTCCCTATGGGGAGCCTGATGTAGGACTCGATCCCAGGACCCTGGGATCACAACCTGAGCCGAAGGCAGACTCTGAACCACTGAGCCACCCAGGTGGCCCAAGAAACCCCATTTTCTATCTTGAAAAGCTCATGAAAGCTCAGGGCTTGGAATAGCTGGGAACCATAGCCTTGGGGGGTAATAGGACATGGTGATGAAGAGTGTGAGCCCTGGATTCAAATCTTGCCCCCATCACTGTTAGCTGGCTTACCCTGGACCAGTCACTTCACCTCTTTGTGTCTCCGTTTTCTCTTCGTGATAGAAAGACCGTACCTATAATCTGAGATTGCCATTAGGCTGAAATGAGATCAGAGTGGTTTTCAACCCTGGCTCCGCCAGAGGGTCACCTGGGGAGGTTTTGAAGTGCCCTCTCGCCCAAGCCCCAGCCCTGGAGATTCTGATTTAATCGGTCTGTAGTGTGATCAAAGCATAGGTATGTTTTAAAGCTTCGCAGGTGAGTCCAATGGTCAGCCAAGACTGGGAACCCCTTAGATCAAGACCATAAAGCTCCTGAGGCCTGTACTCCGTTGTGAACACCGGCCATATTAGGGCTCGGCCACTGGATGCCACTCGATTATGCAACCCCCTTCCAGACCCCAGGCACCCTCTTTGGAGTGGCACTAGTCCGTTTCACTTTGCTAACCCTGCAGGCATCTACAGCTGTTTGCTTAGAACCGCAAGGTCAAGTTCTGCTTTCCTCTTTGGTGCTTGAGAAACCTTGCTCCTTTTGAATTTGAAGTGTGTCTTTTTAAGCTTGGATTTCTCCCTCGTTGTCTCAAATGACTTTCTCCTCACCCCCTACCCCAACCCCCAGTGAAATCAACTTTCCAGGAGCCAAAGTAAGCAGAGATTTATAGTCCTAATTGGTAATAAATCCCAGAGTTAATCATTTGCAGATGGAGCTACTCTCAAATAGTGACTTCATTTTTCTGAAAACGGCTCTTTACTCCTTCTTGTTGGGGGGTGGGGAGTAGCCGTGGGGGATAGTTATTACCCTTGTGGAGGACAAGGCATCAAGTTAAGACCCCTTCTAAAAGGGCCAGTATGCTGCTTCTTGGAGAATGCCTCCATGGGAAGCATGCTTGAGACTTGAGAATAAATTTCAGGAGACCGATTGGAGTCAAACATACCTCTTTTTGCTCATTTTTGCCTTTTTGCTCTCTTTTTCTCTTAGACGTCAAAGCAGGTGTCAAATCTTGCCTCCTATTCCTGCTTGAAATCTATTATATCAATTCTTTCCATCTGATCCCCTTCTCCGACCCTCTCTAAGGAAGTCATTGCCCGACTGAACTTAATACCATTTCTTTTCCTTTTCCCTTTGCCCCTAAGTTCTCTGCTCTGACATCACACAGGTCATCATCATTCAAGTACCGGTTTGACATGTGTTCTGACGGACCTTTCCCTGCCCCAACCAGGTGGGGTGGGGTCAGCTAGACTGATTTATGGGAATTCTTGAAAAGCCTCATAGAATACTAGATATTTAGAGCTGGAAAGAGTCTATGGATCTGTTTGGGCACCTTTATTTTACAGAAAAAGGAAACAGGCTGGGAGACAGGCCAAGACAGCATTCCACATGGATAGAGAGAAGACTCTTGAATATCCGGACCTTCACACCTGCCCTCTGCAGGCTGGTTTATAGACCATTCTTATCACAGTATATACTAAGAGGTTATGTCTACATTTGTTCTTTGGGAATGGCTGTGTCTGAAGGAACCTGTGTGCACACGAATGCATTGACTATGATTACTTTGAGAAAGCAACTCATGGAAATCTGCCCTGTAAATGTTTATGGGCCTTTTGATGTTTGCTCCGAACCCCCTGTCATTTTGATGGTGTGTTATTTTGTCTTCAAAAATATATTTTGGGTTGCCTGGGTGGCACAGTCGGTTGAGTGTCTGACTCGTGGTTTCAGCTCAGGTTGTGATCTCAAGGTTGTGTGACGGGGCCCCATGCCAGGCTTGGGGCTCAGCAGAGTCTGCTTGAGAGTCTCTATCTCTTTCTCTTGATCTGCCCCTCCCTGCCATGCTCTTTCTCTTTCTCTCTCTCAAATAAATTAATAAAATATTTCAAATATGAGTGCTCTCAACCAACAAGTGACCATGGGCAGGCAGCCTGATAGAATGAATGGTCAGCCTGGACAAAGGTCTGGCCCTTGTTGCTGGCACTTGAGTAAGCTCAAGAAAAGTGGTCTAAGGCACCAGGGATTGGAGAAAAGGCAAAATAGAGGGGGACAAAGAAACAGAGGGGAACAAATGAAGTGAGGGAGGGAGGGTAGAAGGGAGGTAGAGAGAGAGAAGAGGAGCATGTACTACCATCTGTCACGCATAAACAAAGGCTTTGTGTCGGAGGAGTAAACAGAGCTGCTAAAAGCCTCCTGTGTAGAAGCAGGGTGTTTTGTTTCTGCTCCTTTTTTCAGTTGGCTTAGAAAACTAAGCATGAGGTAGTTTCTGAAAAGTCTGCTGGGATTCTGGGAATTCTGAATCATCTAAACTGAACTTCACACAACACTTCTGGGTGCTGAGGTCCTCATGATGCATTATTTATGTTGTACCTTTCTCCCAGGGGGTTCAAATGTTATACATATGTTATCTTGTTTAGATTCCTTCTAGTCTGTTTGGGAATGTCTGTGAGTGTGAGTGTGAGTGTGAGTGTGAGTGAGAGAGTGTATGTGGCTGGGGGGGGGCAGCGGGTGGTAGGGAATGGGAAGGTTATGATTATGTGCATCTCACAGACAGGATACTGGGGCATAGGACAAAATAAGAGATTTTCCACAGCAACACTGTTAGTGGTCAGACTGTGAATCCTTCAGGGGCTCTCCGTGTCCTGACCCAGAGTGCCTCTATCTGTTATTTCTCTTACCTACCAAGGGTTGGCCATGGGGAATAGACTGATTGAAACACTTTTTGCTTAGCTTTTTAGTTTGAAGAATTGCAAATATATACCAAAACAGAGAGAATAGTATAAAGAACCTCATGTACTTGGCACTGACACCCACCTCCTTGTGCCCTTCTCTTCAGATTATTTTGAGACAAATCCCTTCCTTCCTATGCTTCACCTGTAAATGATTAACTATGTGTCTTTAAAACAGACTTCTTGAAAAAACCTGGTATCATAATCAATCACATCTAAAAACTAATAATAATTCCTTAATATCATCTGATATTCAGAAGTATTAAAATCTCCCTGAGTTACTAAGCTGGTTGGGAAAAACTCTTCACCTTATGAGGCTAAAGACTCCGATGGTGCTATTACTGCTTGATATAGTTTTTGGGCACTGTTACTTGTCATTGGGACTGCTGTCCTATTCTTTGTAAATCTTTACAGATGGCAAAGTTTTATCTTTTGAGAGAGGATTTGCTTTCGGCATAAGCTGGAAGTCATTTGGAACCAAGCCTCAAGAATGAGATCTCATCTCATCAAGAATGAGATGGCTAATGGATGCTTGCGATTTAATCCTGCTATTCTTTAAAAACTTAGATCCATTGCTTTGTAGTTACACATTTTCTATTTTTAATAAATGAAAGGCAGGTGTGATGTTAAAACTCAGAAGGGAAT